TTAGTTATTTAAAATTGAATGTATTTTATATTGTTTAGTATTTGTATTGTTGTCATTTATAAATTATTTTACGGAAATATAATAATATTATATTGAAACTTATAATTTTCAAACTGTTAAAAAGTCCGAGGCTTTGTTTGTTTAGCATTAAGTAAAACTTGTTACTAGTAAAATATATGTAATAAATAATTTAAAATTTGTATGTGTTAAATACCTATAAAAAACATTCCATTCAAAATTAATGTAAACACAACAATTTTATGATGCATAAGGATGTATCATTCAAAAATAATAATAATACTAAATATTTTTTTATGTATGGAAAATTAAATATCATTAGTTATTATTTATTAACATTCAGTAGTCAGTAATAACTTTTATTAAATAAGTAAGATTACATTTCCAAAAATTGGCCAAATCATATTAAATTATATTTGATTTATATTCATATCCCAAATATATCTTAAAGATGTATTAAATTAAAGGACTTAGATCTTGGGATAACATGGATTACTGTTCCACTACTTATACATCAAACTTTAAGTATGACTATGTGTAAGTATGCATACACAAGATACGACCTTTGATATAATTTATAAATAATAGTTAAATTATTAATAAATTGATTTGTATATACCTATTATCTATAGTAGGTTATCTAAGTAAGCATATTATTATTATTATTAAGTGCCGTAAATCGTAAATATTTCTTGATTTTTCAGTTATAATGGTATTTAACACCTATAACCTATCCATTTAAAAGAGAAACTAAACAATAAATATTTCTTATAACTTAGCATATTAAAAACTAATTACATAATATAATCATTATAGACTTAATAGCTCAGGAACATGTAAGGAAAATATAAACTATTAAAAAATAAATTTTAAAATGTCACATAATATAATGTTATGAAAAATTTAATATATTTAATACTAGTATTTACCTACTTTAATATATTAAAATATTTGAGTCTCAACGTATCACTAATTTTATAAGATCCCACTTCAAATATTGAAATATACTAAAAAGTAAAATAACATTCTTTAAAGTATCAACCCTAAAATATTCAAGTGTATTTTTATCGAACATTTTAGTCAACAATATTAACAATTACGTATAATACATTGATAATTGGATTTTTTATTGATAATATACATATTTATATAAACGAGAAAAACAAATGTTCTTTTAAAAATGTTAAGATCTTATAATTTACTGCTTATACGTTGTCGAAAAAACATATAAACTATCTTATACTTAATCGATAAATGATAAAAACAAATCATCAGTACGATAAATATCAATGGGAAAAAAGGAGTTATTTAAGTGTATTTAATATTACAATAAAAGTAAATTCCAACGAAAACGAAATGACTTAAACCTGTTATTTTATTTAGTAAGTAATGTACACCTTAAGACCTTCTATCAGTTCAGCTGGTCCAGAGCAGCAGTCATGTGTGTAAGAGTAATTTATTAGGATGTTTACACATAGGAATGTGGGAGGGTCATGCATATTATGCACCCAAGAAGTCCGTATGACGATGACTCATCGAACCATTTCTTTTGATATTCCTTTTTGTCTTTCACCGGTCATTACTTATCATTCAGATTATAAATAAATATTTTCAAGGTTTAATTATCGATATTACTATAGTAATTCACACATTTTTCTAGTTAGTTTAATTGCTTGAATATTACATAATATATTTTATTTCTAAATGTTATTTTAAAACGCTATTTTTAAACGTTATTATTATGTCAAAAACACAGTTAGAATTTTTTGTTCTTTATAATAAATTTTTAATTAAATTTATGATAGAAAAATTGTGCGATATAAAATATTTTCATTTTTTATAATCTCGATAAATTAATCAGCTGGAGTATACGCGTATTATAAAATTATCATACTTAGCTATCTTCAAATATGTTAACCGTTTTTATTACAGTATAATAAATTAATAATAATGACAATTTGAACTACTCTATGATAAAACGTTTCTATAATAGTGTCAACTGTATACAGATTGTACAAATAAAAATAAATATGACAAAAAAAAAAAAAAATTGTTTATATAGAAATTAAAAGTACACATAGTATGTTGTCTCCGTCTTACTAACTTAGTAACTTAGAACATAGAAAATTTGGGTTCAGCCTTTCAAATTTTTTAATATCAGAGTGAATTGATCTATTCAAAAACTTTAAGATACGAATATTTTCTGTGTTCATGTTGATATTTTACAATATTTTATATTTTAAATGAGTTAAGAGTGGGCATGTGTAAAATTTACAGTACTTAGAAATTTCCAAAGTTATTGACCTTGTATATTATACATATAATTTATCAAGTTTTAAAAATTGTACTCTCTATTTTACTCTTTATTACTGTAAACATATTTTAATATCTACATAGTGTAATAATAGTTGTAAACAGTTGTACTGCTATACATTTACTAAGTAAAACATTAAATTACCTCATTAATAATATCAATTTATCATTTTCATAATTTTAACAAAATTTTCTCCAGTTAAACCAATAAAACAAAATCCATTTTATCAAATGCCGGTCTTGCACAAATATTTTTTTTTCAGTTATTTTGAAAAAAATTAAGAATATTTTACTTTTGACCCTCCTACCCTCAAAGTATTTTTACTGTTTCAAAAGACGATGACAGATATAAAAAAATCACATATCATTGTAAAATCAATACATTTATTACTCCGCTTAGGATCTAAAAATAAACGATTTCACTATAATTCATTACGTTTATTATTATAATGTGAAAAAAGGACCACCAACAATTTATATTTCCACATCATCCTCGCAAAAATCCAAAATACACAGTTAATTTATAATTTATATGTGTCATTATTCATTATTATACTCATAATAGGTTATCTTTGTTTACAACCATTTTTAGTGGTTAAAAGTAATACATTTGTATTTGTTCTTTTAAAGACATTTTTTTTAATATTTCACCATGATAAAAAAAAAATGTAAATAATATTTTATTTTACTTATATCGTAATTTTTCAAACGCTATTTGGTAGTTACACTTTCAATTAGAAAATTAACCATCTAGATCCTAGGGAATAAAAATTTAAATTTACTTATTATTATTTATTAATTATTATACATAAGTAGAACAAAAATAACACATGTAGTTTATTTTTAATAATTAATACGTAAATAATTTAAACTCTATTTCGATTTAAATTATTAATTTAAAATAAGTATGATTAATGTATACTGTAGTAAATATGAATATTAATTATAATGCTAAAATAAAATAACTAATATTATGGTATTATATAATATATAACTCTAAGACATTTTTCTAACTATCTTTATGAATCTTTCTTTTTATTTCTATTCTACACATTGTTCTTGTACAATTATTTTAAATATCAATTTTTGTTAATAGCATCGGATTTTAAAGCTTAAATGTAAATGAAATATAAACTTGGCACTGCTTCACACGTGATGTGAACTAAGTATATTGTAAAAATAGAACTATTACAATTACAATTTATAGATACACCATGATTGAATTATTAAAGTATACACACAGTACTATACTATCCGTCTAAATACTAAATATATTGATTAATGATTTAATTATAAATATAGTATCGTATTTATTTAAAAGTCATCGATTTAACTATTTAAAGATTAAAAATTAAGTGTCTGAGCAAAATTATATACGTGAAGAAAATTATATCTTTTTAGTATTTAACATACACATAATCATTTAAACACAACACTTGGTACGCTAATTATTAGTTATACGTTATAATATGTTAATTATAAAATAACAAACTTGAAGACTTGTATAGCATCATATACCTATACAGTATATACATGGCATTCCTTATTTATACAGCATTGCTTTTATAGATAGTAGTAATTTAACTTAAATTCAATCCATAGCGATCGCACAAAATTTCGTTAGAAATGTGTTATTATTAGTAAAAATAATAATTTTAATTTAATATTCATTAGAACATAAGCAATAAAAATAAAAACAAACTTTATATATACCTCCAGGGAACGGAGACTCCTAAACTCATGTCTAATAGAACAAGCAAATTTAAACTAAATTAACACTGAACATATTATTCTTTCTTCTCATTTATTTTATTTTTTTTTTTTTTTTTAATAAAAATGACTAATCTTGCAACTGGACATTGGAGATAGCCAAAATGGACCACCACTACTACTATTTCCACTACCAGGCGGTTGTGTATTTAAAAGTGTTATTTTTAACATATTCATTTTGGCCCTGGTACGTAGTTTTTGCAACGCTATTTTCGTACAACAGACGCAAGATAATTTGTTTATAACAAATATACGAAATATTAAAGTATAAAAATTTTATAAAATTTAGTTAAATGTACATTTATTTCCTTATTAACTTAGATACATAGTTATATTATATTCTAAAGCAACAGATAAAATACGTACTAACCGTAAACTATATGCCTTAAGTGTAAGATATAAGCTGTGTTTAAAACTGATCCTATGTATCAGAGGCATTTAATACATAGTATATACTATATAAAAATTAAATAAGTATGTTAACCTTTGGGCAAGAATGCAGGATAGCGTAAAGATACGTTTTTATATTAAATTTAAAAACAATTATTAATTATTCCGTTCAAAAATAGATTATGCTCAAGGGACTAGGATCAATTAAAACTGCGATTTCTTTTACAAGCAATGACATAATAAATATGACTTTCTAATCGTCATTGATAAAAAATATAAGACCTATGGAAGATAATATTTCTATGCGATTGCAACACGGACTTTCTTTAAAATTTAAATTAATAGATACGTACCTATAGTGTATGTAAACGAATTAAAATTTATATTTTATATTTTTCATATGAACTACATGTTATGTATGTAATCAGTAATCACGTAGTCTTAGCAATAGGTACTAGATATAAGTATTAATTTATTATGTTTAAAATTATTGATTTGATAAAACTTACTGTTCTTCTTGTCTGGAACTGTTGTAAATTTTATTGAATTCTTCATCAACTCTTGATCCAGGAGATAAATCTGGTAAATCCATTTGCAAATAATTTCTCTCCAATAATATATTACTAAAAGTCACCTAAGTATAAATATTAACATTTAAAATACAATTAAATATAAATTATAATATTTATGTAGCAAAAAAAAAAAATATATATATTAAATAATATAGTAGATATCTAATTGTTATAAATACTTTTTTTTTTGGAGAAACTATTTCAAAATTTGATTGAAAAATAGGTTCAGGTGTTTTGGGATAAAAAGCCACGCTAGCTGGTCTTACTGGACTTGGAGTACGACGGGCGCTCAAGTCTTCCATTGAACATTTTTCTAATTTTTTCCAAAAACTTTTACAATCATTATGTCGTCCAGTGATCGAAGTTTCCATGTTTGATTTCCAAAACTGTGGTGAACTCGATCTACTTCTAAGACACACGAGTTCACCGTCTTTTTGTAACGAATTCTTTCGAGGTTTGAAGTTAGAAAACTGTAATATCTCATTGTCATTTTTCACTGGTGCTGAGACAAATGATTTGTTAGGTTCTTCAAAACACTGTTTTGGGAATTCTTCCGAATCTTCGAGTTTGCAAAATTGGTTTTTTAAATTTTCTGAGATTGCATCATTATTATTAATAATATGATGATGAGAAGGAGAATTAAGTTTTGAAATATTTTGTGATTTTGGAAAAATAAAATGCTGTAAAGCTTTACAACTAGATGACCTTTTGGGTGGTACGACATTTTCACCCCGTCGTTTTAGTACCAAAAGTTCAATCGAATTACTAGGTCTTCGGAGAAAACTGATTGCCTGAGACTCGGTTAATGAATAACAGTCTATTCCATCGATCTCTAAAACACGATCACCGACATTTAAATAGTTGTACGCTAAAGTGCCATTTTGTACCTTAACAATGGTATTAAAACATTTTTGATTATTTTATTTTAAAACCAAAAAGAAATTGTTTTACTCACATTTCTCACGGTTAGCGGTCGCCAACTGTCCCTTCCGCCGCATACTTGAAAACCCCACGAGGAGTAAAGGTCGTTTTTCTTAAACGAAATATTTAACAACTGTGCCATTTATAATAAATTGTCATGCTACTCCGAAAATGTGTTTATACCTAAGTGTGTTTGGGCAACCAACTGGCATTTGATTGTGTGTCCTAGTTTTACCTGCCAACAAAGGGCGCTCTAATCAGCGTTCTTAATTAAATTGTTGACAAGCCACCGGAAATACGATACATAAACTTTGGACATTATAATTAAAACATGCTTAAGAATAAATATTACTTATAATACTATAATTTGTACAATTATATACATTATTAATTTTAAGTTTTAATGTTCAGTTGACCAAAAACAAATACAATCAACATATTAAGCTAAATGTACTCATGTAAAATAAAGACAGATTTAAAATGATCAACAGGAATACAAAATTTTAGTTAATAAAAATTTGTATAAAGGTATATACTATTTAGTATAAGTTAATTCATTTTTATCGAGGCACTGATATACTTATATAGCATAGGCAGGTACCTAAAAAAAATGTCGTCTCCTAGTGTTAAAATTTCAGAAACTAACATAATATGTTTAATTTTGTGTGATCATAATCAGTAATAACTGATAACCCATAATTATTTATATTCAAAAATATAATAAGTAGGTAAGTAATATGATTTTATGAACAAGAACCAAACTCTTGAATAATGTCACTCATTCATTTAGTTCACCATCATTTTATGCATAATATAAGATTACTAAAATATACACACTACTATTTTTTCATTCCTATTTAGAAGACATTTTCTTATTTTTTATAGAACCAGGAAGACATAAAAAGTATTATCCAACTTCACCCAGGTCCAAAAATGAATAAATATAAAATACAGTATTTCATTCATTTTTAGTTTTATTATACCTCAATTCTCAATTGAACTGGATGAAGCACTTGGTATACTTTGGTAGATAATTAGATAATAAGTCTTTAAATTAAGATATTTTATAATATATATTATGTTTAAATAAGAATATTACAGATCTATTACATGTACAATTATAAAGAATAAAAATATATTATGAAAGATAAAAATAACCAAAACAATACAATTAAATATAATTTTGTAAACATAAGCTAAATATATCTGTACATTATATATAATATTATGATATAAATCAAAAGCTAAGTAAAATTAGGTGTTTGCAATTTTAATATACTCAACTTAAGTTCACTAACATTTTACAATAAACTATTATAAACTTAAATAGATAATTTTGTAAAAATATAATAACTATTAAGGTTATAAATGTCTGGAAACTAATTACCTAAAATTATTTATATTAATATGTGTAAAAAAAACAATATTTATTATATCTTTAATTTTTTAAGTTATTATTAAAATGTTGTTATCAAACTTTATAAATCTCTATTTAAAATAAAACGGTTGCCTTCTGAATGTTTTCCAGCATAACGGTATCGACGTCGACCATATGCAGCTAATCATTAAAATGTAAATAAAATAAAATAAATTACAGTGTACTTCTAACAAACACTTAAAATGTAATTTATTTTAGCAAAAATACCTTTATGATGTATTTCTTGGGTTGGTGAAACAGAAAGTGGGGAGAAAATATTTGAAGTATCTGCTTGAGATTGGGATCCAAGAGATAATTTCCAATCAAATCGAAGTGGCTCGTTTTCAAAACGCTAAAAATTAATTAAACATTACATACTTTTTTTTATTAATTTTATAATTAAGTCGTAACTTAATACAGATGTACACCTTTTTTAAACGAATAATGTAATATTGAAAACATCAATTTTTTAATATTAAATAAAATATATATTATATATATAATAATCTATTTTATTAAAATTTATAATTATTCATATGTATGAGATCAAAATGTAAAATTAGCAATTACTAAAATGATTTTATGTATCTCTTTGTCATCATGCATAAAGTAATCAAGTTTAAATTTTTATAATTTTGTTCTTAAATTTTCAATTAATTGGTATAAATTTAAAAATTTAAAAATATATAGCTAACTAAAAATGTACTTATTTCATTTTTTGCATTACGAAAAAGATTCTACTATACTTACTGGGCGTATGATTTTTGTGAATTCGCCTTTAGTTAATGCAGTATCTAATTCTTCATTAGTAACTGGTCTAGAATCGAGAAATCTCAATTCTGGTAAATAATGTAAAACAAAATACCTAAAATAAAAATATATATTAACTGTAATCAGTGTGTTATTTACTTTATCAATATAAATAAAATATTTTAATAACCTATATCTTTTATAATCGTTTTCATCTTTTTCAAAATCTATTAGTTGTGTTGGGCAAGCTTTGTTTCCAATCAAACTGAGAAATCTTAAAGAAGGCATATTATATTTTATCTCGGTAATCAATTTTTCTAAAATCGTGATCTAAACATGTATAATATTTTAAATTATAATACTTAGAGTATACTATTTGTGTGTAATTATTACTTTATTATTATTCATTGAGAGTATATGTAAATGTGGTAAATAAGGTAATTTAATAGTATCATCTAGATTATTGTTATCTAAAACAAGCTCTTCTAAATCAGAAAATAGTTCAGAATGATTTAAAGTAGTCAAACTATTGAAGCTCAGATCTAAAGACCTGACTTTGGATCCATACATTTTACCCAGTATTTCTGGAATACTTGTAACATCTTGGCCAACATAACACAACTGAAACACAATCACAATAGGAATATTAGAACTGGATTCATTTTATTTTAGTTTAGTATGAATATTATTACATACATAGAATTTTTTATAAATATTTAACACACAATTTACAAAATCAATATTATATTACTACTCCTCTACTTAATATAGTAGAACAGTAGAAATTACAATCAATATAAAATGTTTGTATGAAGAAGGATGGTTGTTTCACAAAGTTAAAGAACTAGATAAGTAAACCATTTTTTTTTAATTTTTAATAAATTATTAACCAATGATTGCTAAGTAAAGGGAAAACAAACTATTAAATCATCTACAGCAAGAATGTCTACAATACATTGTACTTGTCAGTAGAATGTTAAATATGATAAAATAAAGTAATTTTTACCTATACAATATTTAGAATAAAGCAAATTAAACTTATTATTAAATTAATATCAATAAGAAAATAGTTTTACTAATTGATAATAACAAATTTAATTTCCATATATTTTTAATTTAGGTATAATAATTTTAGCTTAAGTTGGGTTATGTAATATACTTATTACTCTTGTTACCTGAGATTTGGACTTAGTAGAATCCCTATTAACAGCATAATATAGATGGGAATATTTGGATGATTTATTTTCATTAGATCTTTCATCATGAACACCTCCACCTGAGTATTATAAGAAGGAAAATCTAATTTTCACTTGCAAGATATATTTAAATCTTTTTATTCTTACTACTTGATAGAACTTTAGTTTCGTGCACCGTTGTTACAGTCAAAACATAAGAAAATGTACATTGCTCTGGAGTAAAAAAGTGTAATTTGAGGAATTCCATTAAAACGGTCAGCCTAAAGTTACATTAAAAAACTGAGTCCAAGTAATTTGATCAGTAGTAAAATAAAAGGTTTCATAGATTTTTAACTTATAACATATAATCAGCATATTATGTGTGAAGTATGAATCCTTTCAAGTGTAAATACATTTACTATTGGTTATTACCTATGATATTAGGTATATTGTTATTATTTTTTTAGAAAATCAATAACTAATCAAATCACATTATCTAACTTCAGAAATTTATAAAAAAAAAAAATCGAATGAAAAAAATTACTATTTATAATTAATAATTGGACATGAAATAATTGAAAAAAATACCCATCATGTGTTTTGAATTAGGAAATATAATTTCCCTTGGGTAGTTAGATTTATTATAATATAATAATAATATTTTGTATTATAACAATTTTAATGTATAAAACTATAATAAAAGATAAATTATTAATAATTAAACCTAAACTAACATTAAACATAACATGTTTTAATGAAGAATATTTAATTAACTTGAGGTCTCAAAATCTAAAATAACTATTACCTATGTATGATATATTATTTTCAATATAGTAGACTATATAATAATTTAAGTATTGGTTTTTTTTTTTATAGATATTATCATGATGATACTTAGTTTAAGAAAATGATTTTGGAAAATAAAAATCAAGTTTTTAAGAATATTTGTTGAAATTATGAATTGTGGTCTTATTAAAGTTTTACTAAAATTAGTTATGCAATAAATAATTTTTTTCTTATCAATTTAAAATTAATTGTATTTGCAATTTCTTTTTTTTTTTAAATATATTTACAACCTGTCAACACATAAATAATAAATATAAAAAAGTATGTTATACCTGTATAACATAATAATATGTATGTCAATTATTAAAAAAAAAAATGTACCATAATTTAATATTATGAATTTTTATTCATATTAGCTTTAATCATTGATATAAGTTTATAAAATAGTATGTTAACAGAATGAAATATAAATAATTTGGAGTGTATAAATAATGATATGTGTATTTTCTTAAATTTTTTACTGGGTTCACAGCTATCATTTGTTGCGTTGTGTCCAAAAATCTAGCTTGATACAGCTTTAAAAATTTTCTAGTAAATTGTAGTTTAGTAAATGATACCAAGATTATAGCAGTCAAATAAAATAAGATTAACAGTAGACGACTTTACTGTAAACTTGGTTTCACATATACAAAACTACGAAATTCATGAATCCTAAACATTGTTAATGATAACATGTTTATATATGTTTATATAATTATTATTATAAATAACAATGCTATTAAAAAATATTTTAAATGCTTAATATTTTTAAATTAGCTAAAATAGTAATTTTAGCATTAGCTAGGTAATTTTCCATTATATATAAAAAAAAATTAACATAGAATGGCAAAACCTAATCTATGTATAAAAAAAGGTAAATAGTAATTATGCATACAAAAACAATTTAGTAATAGGTACTTAATATAACAGAGGTGTACTCGAAATCTTTTATTACTTAATTTAAATTCTATTCATATTATATATACTTATATATAACATGACAGAAATTAATGTGGTACTTATTAATTGTATGAGTTACAAGTTAAAATAATAATATAATCATTACCCGATTGTTTTGAAAGTTAATTTTTCGTGAATCTGTAATGCCGTCTTGATCCATGGAAAATAATTTAAGACTTAATTTTTGTGTCCAAACAAAAAAACCTATACTTCAATTGTCTTCGAGTGACTTAAAAATTAAAACGAATATCTGTTAGTTATATTTATTATTTTATTTGCAATATTATATTATATTAGATTATATTGTGCATAGCTTAAATCAAAATTTATCGATAACCACAAATTAAAATATTACAATGCATTATAATTTGAAATTAGGTATATCATATGCTTAGTCGTTTACTCACTAGATTAGTAATAAGTTATTTATTATATTAAATATTACCTAGGTATATAATTAATAAATAATATCTAAGATCTATCACTTGTTATAAATACAATTATTTTTGAATGAATACTTGAATGTTAATTATATAAAACCTTATAAATATTATCAATGGTTCAATTAATAATTTTCATATAATCTGTAGGTAGTTAAATTAATATTGAATAATTAAATGTTTACAAACATTATTTAATTATGAACATAAGGTTAAGACAAAGACATTTAATATGAATCATAGATAATATTATCTATTTAAACTATTAATATTATTGGTAAAAGTACTGATAAAAATGATTCAGAATCATATCTGTTAGAATGCACTTTGAACATCAGTGATGTCTGTTTCAGACAATTGTAAACTTCGTAAGAATACCGGTTAGAAAGGTATAATCATAAAAATCCACCAGTTTTATTTTCTCACTACAAAAGTAATGTCAAATGTGCATAAGCGAAGGTAACTGGTAATGGGTGGGGGTGAATGTTCAAACACCCTCCAAAATTAAAGATAAAATTGAATAAATAATTCATATTTTATTTTAATATTTTGTTATATTAATATAGATTTAAACCAAAACTCCTTCCTAAAATATTTCCTACTTACGCCAATGCAAATGTGTATAAGGAAACTTAACCATTATTTAGGCTTTCCCACATTAAGTACGTTGATATCTGTTGTTACGATAAACGTCGAAACTGAGGTGCAATAATGACAACTATAATATATTTATTAAAACTATTAGAACGGAGCAACATAACATTACTTTCAAAAATTCTTCAAGAGATAGATACTCACTTTATTTTATTCCATGCCTTTCAATTTCTTTATATTAATTTTATACTGTTACCCGATTTTCTTCTCTGGCGAAGTTCACATGAACTCAATTTTACTTGGTTTTTTCGTGGTAGAGTTTACACTAAAAAAAGGTAGGTGTAGCGAAACTTGCATGAGCCTATTATATGCTTAATGATGTATGCACACTATATATACATACATCACATTGCGCCCTAAATTCAGTCCTTTACACTCAGTTTACAGAAACGAATAGAAGTAGGAGCTTGGTAGCGATGTCATTTCACATCCAAGGCTAAAATAAAAAACCGATGAAAATTATTAGGTATAATCAGAGCTGTGAATTTAATACATTATTTATGTACTAAAAACAGGCAAAATATGCAATAAAAAATTCCAAAAAATGTCTGTACTAAAAAAAAAATATTGAAATCTTCCAGTTAGGTAATATAAACCAATTTTATCTAAGAGTACGAATTTATAAACGAAATACGGATGTGTATAGATACCAGAATAGTACCTAATCATTTTATCATTATTGGGTAACAATCGGGTGCGAATCTTGGATATTTTGATAGGGGAGAAATACATAAATTGTATAATTTGAATAATAATTAATAATACAAATAATATAAACCATCATTTTTTAACAATATTCGTAATATAGTTAATATTATGTTGATTACATAATATTATACAACAAAATAATAATTTATACCTAGGTATCTAAGTTATTATACATGTAGTTATTAATAAGAAAAAATGTCCCCCACGTCATGTCCTCCATATACACAAAATAATAAAATTATTCTTGTATTTACTTTGATTAAATTAATTTTAACAAACAACTAATTTAGCCAGTTCATCATGACTTCATCATACATGCTTAATATTTTTATTTTTTCGTCTATGCCATTATCTAAATTTAATTAAATATTAGATTTACACATTTTTCACAGCAGATCAATATCATTTTTTAAGTACCTACTCGTGAAACCGAAATTGGTATTCATTCTATTCATCAATAATAAATAAATGTCGTTGTTTTTCAATTAATTCTCTACAACAAAACGTGTAGTTAAAATTTATATCAACATAGCAATACGACATCAGACAATAATTGAGCTTGTATTTTTGTACACATAACGTAACACAAGATAATACTATTATCAAAGTTAAAATTTAAAACGTAATCATTTATACTAAATCGATACTAGATACCTACTTGAGATTCTTTTATATCATATCATTTAATTTAAATTTTTTATATAATTCAAACCCCATCATAATATAGTTTTAAATTTTAAATTTACATATTCTACCTGCAGTCTCACAAAATAATACATTTATTCCTCATTCAGATATAGTCTAGTGTACTTGGGCGCTTAGGCCTACTATTCAATAAAAGAATAACCCGATTTAAATACATACATATTATCAGACGATCTCTTAAGTATTAACTAGATTGATATTTTCATTACGTCCTAGACAAATCAATAAAATTCTATATAAAATCAAAAATATACATTTAAAACTTATTTTTCATACCAATCTTGGGTTATGGAATTCATTTATGGGATGCAACTGAAATATCAAATACTTATTAAAAAAAAATTAAATTCTTTCCTGGACATAAATTAACTTTTAGAAACATTGAATTTCAATGAGTTAGTAACATTAATAACAAAAAATCTACGGAAATTATCAATTTTAAAGTTATAAGCATCCTAAGTTCAAATTATTTTATGTTTAAATACTAAATAGGTAACCGCATCTTTATAATAAACCTTGTTTTTTAGAACTTTCATATTTTAACAAGATAGAATTATAGAAGCAATGGTGAAATCACTGAATTAGAATGTGTCAATCGAACGTTTTAAAGTTAGATCTACTTTATGTTCACCATTTATTACAGTATAATATTACAATTTATAAGTTTAATTCAAGCCTCTATGTGTATTGATATTAATACACCTAAATCGGCTAAAACTAGTCGTAGAATCAATACTCCGGATTAAGAAGAGGGGTGTAGGAGGATGGAGCTCCTCTACTATTTTTTTTTTTGCGTACTCCAGCTTCTATTTTTACTGTGACAGAGAAACATATAAAAACTATACGTCCGAAATCATTTTTCTTAAAATATAGATTTAAATTTTAACTGTAATTTTACAATTTTAAATTGTTTTTAGTCAAAACTTTTTTGTTATTTATTAATAATATTTTCATGTTTTTAAAATATAGATTTAAGTATTATTTTTTGAAGTTATTAAATGTATTAAATGTATGAAATGTATTGGGCGAATTCGAGAAAATTGAATGTACATTAATTCATATTCATTTACATGAATTATATTTCGAATTTATGTGTATTCAACTAAAATGAAGTTTTAAAAAAAAATTAGTCTTGTTGTGGGAGGGGTGGGAGGGGGTTGTGTGAGACCAAGTCTCTACAAGTTTGTGTTCAACAATTTTGTACTCAAAACGCAGTTTTTAAATCGTTACCTATGTTGAGTATATTTTTTCCTGTGGGGCTACCTTAAATCGTTGGTATATACTGATCATCCAAAGACCCTTTTTCATCTCAAAAACAATATTCGTGCTGCTATCGCCGACATAAGCACAGATATGCTGGAAAAAGTGGACAACAATTTCAAATTCCGACTATCTCAGTGCATTGATGAGAACGGTGGCCACCTTCGAGATGTCGTTTTTAAAACCAAATAAAATAAAACTTTAAATGTACTTCTATACACAGAAAAAATAATTAAATCAATATTGCCAATACTTTTTGTGTTATGATTTTTTAAAATAAGGAAGTAACCACACCCCACCCTGTACTTATTTTTTCCCAACTCGAGCATTGCGTAGAATCCCTACACGGTAGGCAGTATTGCAGTAACCAAGGTTTGTAGATATTATAATCACTATCCTTGGGTTGCGACAAAATGTATAAATAGTATTTAAATAATTTATAAACGTTGAGGCATTAACTATACCTGTCATACTTAACTCACAAGATCTACCTGAAAAGAATGCACTTATTAGGTAGAAATTGAACTCGAGATCCAAAAGAGTTGGTAACTAGCATGGGCCGTGGAGAGTAACTACTGGTCATACTTTAATTTGCAAGATCACTAGACATTCATTAAGTTAAGACATTACCTGTCGTTTACAGTACACCCAAGTATAATCACAAAAATAATTATTAAAGTTTATCAAGATATTTAAAAAAAAAAATTTAAGGCACGTTAAATTAGAACCTTGTGTTCAGGTATAAAACACGGAAAATCGCAAACCTTTTGAGGCTATATTCGTAATTTCAAAACTAACGATTTCTTCGAATTAATTTTTCATTCTCATTGAATATAAATACTTGAAAAAAAATACAAATGATAACTAAACTAAATTGGTTTCTCTATTTATTATGTCTCAAACGATTTCTTATATACTGGCCTTCAAATATCCATAATAAAAGAAGTATCAAAAATACAATACCATACATACTAGTATGCTACCATTTAAATATATATATAAAAAAAAAATCAAAAATCTATTCAATCACATTTACAGAAAATCTTGCAAGAAGATTTAAGCGCTTGTGGCCAAAAGCTGATATTCTCAATTAACATAGTAAAAGTATATAGTCACTGACGTTACTGTATATAATCTATATTTACATATTATATTCATAAAATACACACTAGCCAGAAGTGTTTTCAATGGATGATTTCTACTTTTTTCAACAATGTACCAATAATATATGTCAAAGTATTATTCGTATAGCACAATAGCACTCATGAGTCATACTTATTTATTTATTAAACCAAAAATGTCTAGATTATACGATTTAAGAATAAAAATATTATTTTATTTTCTAAGTTGAATAATTATTTTTTTTTTCTAACTATTAATGCAATCATGTAAAAAGTTTGTATAATAAATACGTAAACACTAATAATATATTAAAAAAATATAAATAGTTTTACAAATTGCCAATAAAATAATAGCACATTATTTTGCATAGTCTACGAACATTGTAGATTTCATTGTTTTAAGACAGACCTGACTAAATTACACGATAAATTACCTACTTATTTATAACAATTATAACAAAATATTGAAATAGGATATTATTATAACAATAGTACAATAGAATCTATTACCTGATATTGTTGTAATTTTGAACATTAAGGTGTTTAATATACATTATCTATTTATAGATAAAAAGGAGTTAATTTGTTAGGTAATTGTTGAGATTTTATTATTTGGGTCTTAAATGATTAGTTTATAATTTTTACGTAGTTATTCGGAAATTCGAAGTAGACTTGACATGCTGTCATGGAGTAAAAACGTATGTACTATGTACCTGTACGATCTCCATGACGTCGTTGTATGACTAAAATTAAATCAATACTTTGGATGTGCGCCGCGGCCCACAGTTTTTAGTACGTATCATACTATTTTATGATGTTTTTGTTTTTACCGCCCCCCGACTTCTGAACTCGTAATATTATGGTACGCCATTAATAATGACTGAGTCGTGTAAATGGCTACTAACGGTGGCGAGGAAGGAAGTCTTTTTGATTTGGACACTGTGCGGTCATTACATAAGACAGTAATTGCTCTGAGAACGGCTCTTGAACGATCGAAAGCGGAACTCGAATTAGTAAGAAAATCTTGTAGCGCCATGGATGATAAAAAGGTACCCATAGATATTTCGATAGTTTTATTGATTATCCAGTTAAATGCAATTTAATCCAATTTATTTTATGAGTTATATTGTATACATAAATATATCTATTATATATCTCCATAAAATACTCATGTGTCTAGTTAATTATTTGAATAGATATGACATTGAACATTTGAACATTTCTGTGTTTTACAATGTTAGGTACCTATTTTTTTATAGTGTTTTATTTATCTATATTATGTATTGAAACTTATTAATTTATTAATTAGTATTTTAATATTTTTTTTTTTTTAAACCCAATAGCCAGAGTTCAACTAATTGTTCTTATAAGTCTTACTTATTATGGTGATGCAATAAAAAAAAATATTAAAAATGTAATCATATTTTCTTAATATATTTAGATTGCATGTCAAAACTCAGAAGAAACCGATGAAATTGAGTTAATATTTACAACAGATGACACAATGAATGTGTCACCTAATGAAGATCTTGTGTCTATAGATAATGTTTTGGAAACTGATATATCAAAATGTGGAGCAAATTCCAAAGAAATGACAAATTCTAAATATCTTAGTCCCTTACGGCCTATTTTAAAGGACATTACTCTAAAAACACAGGAAGTTGAAGCACAAACAGATATCACTGCTTTGCCTCTACAATGGCGTTCCGAAGGATTTCTTATTAATCAAGCCAAGACTACATCACCCAACACAACATTACCATCTAAATTTATTGTACCAGTTGACAAGAATACACGCAAACAATGTTTGCGTGTATCTAAGAAAACTACTGAATCAAGAAGGGTCATGTTGTCAGACATTAATTTTACAAGTATGGTGCCAGAGTTGTCAAGGAGTGTTGATCATTTGTGTCGGCAACCAGGACCTCTCACTCGTGAACCATCAAGATCAAAGTACCATGTATATTATTAGCTCAATTTTAAGATTAATAATTATTTATTTTTGTATAGATTTCCACGGAGTCCTGGTTATTTTTCTGTTGGTTCATCATCTTCACGATATGATTTTGGTTCAGTATTTTCAGTGCATTCATCATGTTACCGATGTCAAGTAAGACCATCAGTTATGTCATTGGAAGCACGGCATAATGCATCATGGTCATCAGTACCATCTTCACCTACTAAATGCCGTCGATCAGCAAGTGTTCCATGTGAACCATGTGCATCATTACAAGATATGAAGTACTCATCTACTGCTACATTAAAAGCAGAAGATGAAGTGCCAAAGAAAATCAAAAACAAAGTATCATTTAAAGGTTAGATTATTTTTCACCAAATTATATGAAAAAACTAATAACAAAAATAATTTAGAATCAGGGAAATTGCGTTTATCAATGCCAGATTTAAGAAAATCAGAAGGAGAGTCAACTGATTCACTTATAGAAGAATCTGAATGTGTTGTTCGTAATGCTATAGATTGTCTTATCACTGGATGCCCCACAAATATCAAGGAATGCAAAAAGCATAGACGTTATTCTGAACCATATCATAATAACCTAGGTTAGAAATAAATTTATTATTTATTTATTTTTTAGAATTCAAGCAAATATAATTATACAATTATTTTTATTTAATATTAATAATATTATAAAAAAAAGAAGGAATTATTTTCAATTTTAAAAACTATTCTATATTAATTTATTAATATAACGAAAATTTGAATAAAATGAAAAATTCATTTAATTATGTGATCAAGATAAGATCTATATGTACTTACACATTTTTATAATTAATTTGTTAAACAGTCATTTTTTACTTACAAATGCTTTCATTCTATCACATTCCACATTTGCTAATAATATCACAAACTATATGAAAATAATACAACTTAAAAAGTATATTAAGTAAGCAAATCTTCAAAATAAACTGTAAAATAAAATATTTTTATACATACATGATCTTAAATAATTAATGTAAATAACTATATAAATATTAAAACTTAAGAGAATTTTCTGTCATAGATTCCAATGAACAATGCTAAGTATGTTACCGCATGTTTCATTTAATTAAAATGAAAGTGTATTTTCAAATGGTCTGTGATAAATATTAATTTACTTATTATTGATAATTATCAGTACGTGTTTAGTCATTCATTCATTGTGTGTATGACAATAATATTGTAATATTAATAATCAAATGGAATTATTATAATTATTTAATCCAAAAAAGTCAGTTTTAGAATTATTATTAAAACATAACCATAAAATATTGAAACTAATGCTATAAATGGCATGGTGATCCACAGATCTATTTAAAAAATAAACAATTGGCCACTCGTGAATACTTCTTGGTACATTGAATGATGACTAAAAACAGTACTTAATATGTAAAATAAATAAATGGAAAAGTAAATATGTATAATTTTAGATTGTTCAATGAAAGTGTATGGAAAGCCATATTTACCAAAGTCCATTTATGATCTTCAATTGAACACCTATGTTAAAGTTATTACAAACTTTGGTAAAGTAGTTGGTGGACGACTACGATATATAGGTCATGTAGCATCGATGAAAGAGCCATTAATTGGAGTACAATTTGATCATAAGATTGGTGACTGTGATGGATCTTTAAATGGGATCAGATATTTTGAATGGTAAGTTAAATAAATACAGTTTTATTGTAATAAGTTGATATATTTTAATGTTTTCAGTGGAATCAATAATGGACAATTTGTTCCATTTCAAAAGATTGTTATGGCTTGGAGAGATATTTAAACATATAACTTATACAGAATATTCATAGTAAAATGTTATTTTTATGTATAACAGTATTATTCAGATAAATCTTGTTGTGAATTTACTATAATCAAAACATATTTATATTATTATTAGATAAATTTATTGTAAACATTAATTAATTACTATTATAACATTTTGTTTGAAATTTAAAATACTTTATTAACACAAATACAAATAAAGTTCAGATGATAAAGACAAATAATATTTGCTAAAATTGTTTTTATCCGTATAATATATTTTGCATTGCTAAAAAATCAAAATGTATTACATTCTATATTCTAACATTATTACCTTAATTTGCTTGCATAAAGGATTTGGAATACATTAATGCAAGCCTAATATAATTTTTCACTTAAGCTCGGCTTTCATAATATTTTGATTCTTTTTGTTTTCTAACAGCTTGTATGCATTTAGCCATAGTGGGTGAAGATCTACTAATAGAATTGGTCATATAGAAATCTTCTAAAGCTATCTGTTTAACCTTTAATGGGGTACTAGCAGTCTGGGAAGATAAATCCTATGATAACAAAAAATATTAGATTAATAAAACAATTACAATGAACTATTCACTAACTTACTTTAGATAAATCTGAAGCTTGACCCAAAAAATTTGCTTCTTCTAAGTCTCCATATCTAGTCATGCTTGGACAAACATCAGTTAAACGGTCACGTACTTCATTTAAAGTGTCATAGGGAAGTTTTACACCCACAAACTAATGATCAAATTCAATATATAAATAAATAAACAATTAAATATTATAAGATCTTACTTCAGAAATTGCTCTGATAATTTTCCAATCTGAGCGTGCCATTCCTGGTGGCTGTACAGCCATTAATGTTTGTTGTGCACGACCTTCAGTGTTTACATAGGTTGCCTGTTTTTCTGTATACGCAGCACCTGGAAGTACAATATCGGCAATAGCTGCACCAGCATCTCCGTGATGTCCTAAATGAAAGTTAAATTTTTCAAAAAAATATTAATAAAACTATTATCTTGAAATAAATAGTATATTTCTATAAAAATAATAAAATACAATTCTACATCACAAGATTACCAAATTTATTGAGCAAGAACTATTCAATATTATTCCTTTTTAGTAGAATTTACAAAAAAATTTTTAAAATATATTGTCATGAGACTATATTAATTAAAATTAAAAAAATAATAAGTGATAATCTATTTTAAAAACAATTACATCATTACAAAAATATAAAGAGGTTAACTTAAAGCCATCCAATTTCCTAGATCAAAATATACATAATAATTAGTTGTTTTGCTACCCCAGTAATATAAATTACACACACAGCCATATAAATATATATATATATGTAATTTGAATTAATAACTTCACCACTTAATTACATATTACTTAGCAATAGATAATATCCTATACGTATATTTTTTTTTGATTTAGTTTTATGTTAATCACACTAATCACAGACATTATACTAAAAGACGGAGCATCCTAACAAGGCATTGGTGGGTGTTGCAGTTTTTGTAGTCATTTAGTCATTGAATTTGAATTAAAAATATATTTTACGATAGTACTTTAAATATAGAGGAGCCATTGAAATTATAATGTCTATGTACACTGCATAGTATAATTCAAATTATAAAATTGAAAAATTCTAGTGCGTAAACTGTTTAAATTGTATAACAAGAGTAGCACACTCACATTAGACAGATAGAACTAGTTGTGCTCCATTTAGTAATATAATTTCTATGTTCTTTCATATATATGGGATGGCTATTTATAATTTTATCACAAGTAATTATGTTACTAAATTAAAAATATATTTACCTTGATATATAACAGTGGTTCCGGAAGGCTTGCACTTTGTTATTGATTCATTATCAGCTCCTAATAAATAAAGTACTTTGGCAGCAGGTAAATTATGATTAGGCTTAAAACCCAAATCTAATGCAGCTACTTGTCCAGCAACTTGTTGCAATACATTAAGAATTTTCCATCCCTTTTCAGCCTAATTTTTTTTTTCTATTAGTAATAATCATAAAATATTGAATATATAAATTACATTTTTCGTTAGTTCTTGAGACAGTTGCTGTGCTTGGGCCAAAAGTATAGCACCATCTTTCTGTTCAAATTGCTGAGCTCCTAAAATTATGACTGGTCGCTTAGCTTTAGATAGCTTAGCAAAGAATGCGTGCCTTTTTTCAGCTAAATCCTTGAGTATTGCAGGAGATTCACCTAAATACTAATTAAAAAATTAATTAATTATAAAATATAAAATAATAATAAAAACAAACTAACTTCATAATCATAGGATAGGTCAACTTTAGGTCCTAATAATGCTATTTCCAGGTCATTATGTACATAAGATTTACGAATACGTGTATTTAACAAAGGAGCTTCATATCGTGGGTTGGTTCCAATTAATAACACTAGATCAGCTTGTTCTAATCCTATAAATAAATTTAAAAGTAGTTTTTTAATCAGCTTACACAAAAATAGTACATACCAGAAATGCTGCTATTTAATATATATGAAGTTCGAAGGTCTATACCAGAACCAGTTGTTGGGAATGGTTCTTCCGTGTATAATTCTTCACTTCCTAATCTGTTGAGCAAATCTTTTAATGCTATCATAGATTCAGCATCTGATAAACCACCACTTACACCCACAATCTAAAATAACAAGAATAAATCAAAATAAATAATAAATATAGAATAAATCAAGTCTTCAGTATTACATTTCCATTAGCATTAATTAATGCTCTTGATGTTGCTACTAATGCATCTTCCCATTCAACTGGCACTAAATTTCCTTTATTGTCTTTAACCAGCGGGGTGATCAATCGTTGGCGTTTAAGTCCATCATACGAGAAACGTGATTTATCTGATAACCATTCTTCATTGATATCCTAAAATGAAATAATTATATTAGTTAATGGAAATAATACTGGAGTCCTATTAAATTACTTCATTTAGACGTGGTAAAATTCTCATAACATCACCAGCTCTAGTGGAAACAACAATATTGCTTCCTAGTGCATCCAAAACATCGATACTATCAGTTTTTCTAGTCTCCCAAGGACGTGCAGAAAATGAATATGGTTTACTAGTTAATGCTCCAACTGGGCATAAATCTATTACATTACCACTAAGTTCGGACAAAAACATTTTCTCTATATAAGTTCCAACCTAAAAAATAAAAATTAAGTAAAACAAATAAATAAATGATTTAATATGATGGATATTAAATCTAATCCATACAGCATACAAGTAATGTAATAAAATATCTGAAGACAGTATACCTGCATATCTGAACCTCGCCCTGTTGTTCCTAGATCATCCACACCAGCTACTTCTGAAGCAAAGCGTATACATCTTGTACAGTGTATACAACGTGTCATTATAGTTTTAACAAGTGGTCCAATATCTTTATCTTCAACAGCCCTATATATTATAAGTAATTAATATTTATTTAGACACATACTAGTTGCGGACAAATTATTCAGGTCAATATTATAACATAACAATTGCGGACACGAGTTTAGTTGTCATAATACTAATTACATACAGAAATTTTTTTAATAAAAATCACATGAGTTGCTTTTCACCACTTTTTTTAGGACTCAGGGGAAATTTTTTTTGAAACAGCTTGTATAAATGATACTCTACTGATTTCACCACTTAAATAATGCAATATTTGTTTGCTGATAAATGCCTCCTTTTTGACAGTTTTATTTTGTTCGTTTTAAATTTCGTACAGTAGTAAGGTGCAATTAGTTTTCGTATAGCAGAAAATAGCAAATATCAATATTAAACGGTAATTTCCCAACGTCCACGATCATTATAACAAAAATAATAATTGGACATTTATCTGCAATTAGTATCTTATAATTGCTACCTTTTTAGATTTTGTCCGCAACTCACACGGTTTTTGTAACTTAATATGCAATTCGGAAATACCAATTTATTTGTTATAATCTTAAAAATAATAAAATACCTTTTGCCACTAAAATCTATATCAACAAAACGGGATCTATCACTACCGAATGCCATACTCTGATCTTGTAAATCACATTCACCTCCCTGATCACAAATAGGACAATCTAGGGGATGATTCATTAACAAAAATTCCATAACACCTTCACGAGCTTTGCGAGTTAATTCAGAGTTTGTTTTAATTTTCCATCCATTCATCACTGGCATGGCACATGCAGCAACTGGCTAAATTAAATAATAACAAGATTAGTTATTATTTATCTAAACATATAATATAATAGTTGTGAACATACGAACATACCTTAGGCGACCTTTCAACTTCAACTAAACACATTCTACAGTTACCAGCAACAGCTAAACGTTCATGATAACAGAAGCGTGGGATTTCTACACCGGCAAGTGCAGCAGCCTAAATATTCAAATTCGTTAAATATTTCTTAATAATAGCAATAATGTATTAGATTATATTACTTGTAATACTGTTGTTCCAGGATCTACAAGAACTTTTTTATCATCTATGAATACTTCAAGTTTAGATGGCGCAGCCGGAGTATTAGAATTTGGTCGAAATTGACCTGATGTAACCGCCAAACGAATACAAGGTACAGTACGCTGAAGCGTTGACCGAAACATGTTAATAATTTTTATCTAATTATTAGTTTTTTTTTTTTTTTTTATTTAATTAGTTTTCAATTTTACTTTACATAAATGAAATACACTTTTGCACTAATAATATGTGTATTAACTATTAACTATATCAGTGAACCGATGAAGAAATAAAATAGCTTGATGGAAATCAAACCAAGTTCAAATGATAATAATCATATGATATTTTGATACCATAAATATAATACCAGGCTGTAGGCAGAACCACAGAATTATCATTGATAATATAGGCGTAATATGTGTGTGTGTACTGCATTGACATAATATTATGTCAATGGTGTACTGTGTAACATAGCGATAAACAATAAACCTTTAACCTTTATTCCTATGGTCAATGGCTTATGCTTAAAAATTTATAATACAACCTATATTCTAAATCTACAGCAAAAGCCTCCAACCTTTTTTTACAGAGTGCTAGTGCCCAGTGGTGTATTGGTAAATAAATTTATGGGTATACGCATTTAAAAGTAGTTGAATAGGTATAACTTAAAAATTGTTTTCGCTTCGCTCGAAATATCTTAACACTTATAATAAGTGTTTGAATAGTATTTAATAAGCTTTATCTTTTACTACAAACGCTTACTCTTTACGTCATATATACGTATAAAAACGCAGGCAATTGGGTACCGCTCTGCTGTACATTAGGGGATGGGGTGTACCTCTGACTAGGGTACCTAGGTTAAATTTGAATGCAATGATAGGTATTATTGTATACGAAAAACGATTCTAAACGGAGATGATTTTTCAGTCTAGGATATATTATATTTAAATATTGTCATACATTCTATTTTGAAACAAATATTTTATTTTTCAATTAGGACGCATTTGCAAGTCATGGTTAATCAATTAATTATTAATTTTTATGAATTATACCTACAAAATAGTTTGCAAATATTCATGGTTTTGACGAATTTTTGTCAATATTTGAACTTCAAATGCTAATAAAAAAAAATTGTGCCTATGTATTCTTAAAATTTTTTGATCAATATAAGAATAACTTATGAGGAACTTTGTATTAAATGTTCAAGTATTTTGATTGGGCCAAAAAAAATTTATCGACACTTCAAAAAAAAAATTTCAGATGTCTATAAATAGCTCAAAAAAGTCAAAATATTTTGAAAATTAAATCAAGTAAAGAAAATGTCAATCTAAATAATTGGTAAAATTTTCAAGTATCTGCAACTTATACTTTTTGAATATTAACAAATATTTAAAATCGTTGAGGATAAATTGTTATCGTTACACTATTTCGTAAACATTTAAAATTCAAACGCACTTAACATTTTTTCTATAATGATGCTTCGAGTTTTTACTATAGCTACTTGAAGGAAAACTTAGGGAAAACATATTGTAGTATTTTTAATCCTTAGTTATAAACACAAACATTTTATGATTTTTCAACTTCAAAATTACTTACAAATTTTCGCGTTTTCGATAGATTTCGTAAATATTTGAACAATAAACGTTTAAACAAAAAAATTGTGACTTACGATTTTTAATTTTTAATAGCTGCAATAAGAACAACTCATAAGGAACCTTGTATTAAATTTTCAATATTTTTTAGTCATCCAACATTTTTTTATCGACACTTCAAAAAAAAATTCTCATAAAAATCGATAATTTCAGTGGTATATAAATAATTCAAAAAAAGTCAATATTTTTTGAAAATTAAACTGTATATAGATAACACTAACATAAACATTTGGTGAAAATTTCAAGTATTTACAGTGATTAGTTTTTGAATTACAATTATATAAAAAAATTGATTTGGTCGAAAACTGGTTTTGCGTAAAAATTCTCGTTTTTCCGTCATTTTTTTGTTTTTCTCAATTTTTTTGAAAACTGTTGGAAAATGTTTACTTTTTACCTCTATAATGCACCAAGGATATTCACTTTGCCATCGGAAACCTACTCCGAAGTTTGAAATTAAAGCATTATTTCGACTACTTATGCTGTACAGAAAAAAAAAAAAAAAACACACATCATTGTAAAATCAATACATTCATCACTCCGTTCAGAATCTAAAATTCAAAGGCTATAAAAATGTGTATTTTTGTATCTTTATGTCATAACAACCAACTAAAAAACAGAATTCAAGTTGTCAGGTTCTATGCAGAAATATTGAGTGTTCTCAATTAATGTTTATGTACTGTATAGTATATTATATTATTATACATTTATATTTATACTATAGAATAGAGTAAAAAAAGGTAATGGTTTCTGTTCTGCTGTATATTAAGTATTGATTGGGGTCACTTTAATAGATAATACCATGCATATTATGTTTAACTTGAATACAATCATAAACATATATCATTATATATGAATAACAATTCTGAGTGAGAATAGTCTGTCAAGAACCAAACTATTTTTCACAATATTTTTTTTGATGTATAATTAAAGCCATTTAAGTTATTTATATTATTATTAGTATTATAGTAAGAATGGTAGGATTATTTAATTTAATAATTTTATTTGAAAATAAGTAATTATTATATTATTAGTTGGTACACTAGAGAGCTAGAGACTATGCCGACTATGGTCTGTGTTAACCGAATAAATGATATTACATACTTACACCTGATTCAAACTTAGTTCAATTTTTATATTTATTACCTGGTGTAGTAATGTTTAAAACTTAAAAAGAAAAAAAGATTTAAGTTGAATTTTACTTTTAAATTTTAACACAATAACTATTATCTAAGTACAATACTATTAATTGTGTATTAGTGTAATGATCGTAAACCAACCACTAGATGACAAAATAACATAATGTAAAGAACAAATTTCATCTCTTTAAAATTCTCTTAGTGTTGAATATATTTATTTTTGTAAAGATTTATGCCTTGTCTATTACATTAACTTAAAGATTATTTCATAATTTTTTTATTTTTTTTTTTTCTAAACATATATAACATTGCTATGGTTTTGATAAATAAAGTTCAGTATATATCAAGCTGCTGACCTATTTTCAAATCTATTAACAACTGATATTTTTGTAGTACATTGTTTTTAAATATCGACAACCTTTAGTAAGATTATGCCAATAAAATAATGAAACACCACTTTTTTCAAATAAAGAAAATGTTACCATATATAAAAAGTAATAATATAAATATTTTGTGATAATTTTAAGTTTTGAATTATAACAAAATAATTAAACAAATTAGTTGAAAACTGGTTTTGTGTAAAATTTTCTGTTACATTGCTTATAATATTTTCATTTAAAAAAGTTACAACTGTTCATACAATTTTCTTTATCTTGAACTAATACCAATATTTTTTAATTACTCAGATGAAGATATCTATATAGTATATAACATAAAAAAAAAAATCAATATATGATTAAGTAGATTATTAATATGGAAATAATTAGACAGTAAATAATAGCTTAATTTAATTTATAATTTGTAGCAAAATTATAACAATAATGAATACAACTTGTATTTCTATAAATTATAGGTAGCTTAAAATAATAAATAAGTAATTCATTAATAATAAATATAATAATAATATAATAATATAGAAACAAATAATTTATAGATATAAATACAGTTCTTAGTAAAAGATAAAAAACTTATAACTAAATTTAATTTGAAATGAGATTTTCTATAAAAAAGTTATGACTTATGACAATCTGAAATATTAAAAGGTTAAGTTTATTATAGGTAATGATAAATAATTTAACTTTGAATGTCTCTATTAAAAACACAAAATCCCAATTTATGACCACTTAATTAATGTAAAATGTCTGCATTAAGTATTTATAAAGTAAGTATCTATATTATACACCTTATGAATGGTTATTATTTTTATAATTTTTATGAGAACATAGAATTATGAAGTTGGGCAATGTTATTTTCTCTTGTTTGTCGATTTTTTAACTCTTGCTTATACAATTCGTACATTTCGTTATCAGTCTTTAATTCAAACTTACATAATGGACAAAAATTACTCTAAAAAATAAATTAAATATTTTAAAAATGTATAATTACTAAAAAATAAAACAATTATTTTTTTACTTTTTCCAGCCATGTTTTGAGACAGTTTTCGTGAAAATTATGATTGCATGGCATATTTAATGCTTTTTCATTCAGTTGATACTGACATAAACAGATTCGACATTGTTCATCTAATAGATAACACAATTATTTTCAGTAAATTATATTTTTCTAAAAAAAAAAAATTTTACCTATTAGTTCCTCAAATGAAGGAGCACTAAGTTTTACTATTTCTGATTTAGATGCAGGAGGTGTGTTTTGAAAAGTGATTATGTCACCGTATCGTGCTGGATCGTGATCGAAAAGCATTCTAAACGTTTCTCTTGTTAACCGCTCTGAACGAGCAGCAGGCATTTCATCTTCATCAACGTGAAGTTCGTCAAAATAGCTAGCCATAACTAAATTTTTAAAATATTAATAATACTAATATTATCTATGAATAAATACCTATCAATTAAACTCAATGACTTACCTTGAATTATGGAAGAAATTTCTTACTTATATGATACACTATAATTATATTAAAATGACAAAGATGAATAAAACTATTATATAAATAGGTTGTAGTAAAAAGAGATACGCAGTAAGGAATTATTATTTCAGTTAAAATAAATCATAAGTCATGATTTGCTAATTAATAATTTATTAACTTCTTGGTTATTTGAGTTATTTCCCGAATAATTTATGGAAATTATTATTTCTTATCAATATGAAAACATATGTTTATTTATCAGTTTCAAGTTTGTTCTTGTCATCTGAAACGTGATGTTCTGAAATCTGAATATTTTTTAAGTATTAAGGTCAGTATTCTATAAATTTATAAGGTTTAGCATTCTTTAGATAATTATTTAAACCAGTTTATACAAATGAAAATGTGGATTATTTAGACTTAAGATTGAGAATAATTGATTATAATCATAATTATTCTAGGTATTTAAAATTATATAAGTCATTTTTTTTTTTTAATTGTTTCTTAATTTATTAAAAAATGTCTGAAAATCAGCCAAAAGAAGAAAATACACAAAATGCATTATCCGAATTGTTAGATGATGCTCTCAAAGATTTTGAAAATACTAATGAATCAAAAGCATTAGACGATGCATCAAAAATACCTGAAGTTACTAATTTTAGTGCAAGTGATAACTTTTTAAAAGAGAGTCTTGAAGAAACAATGAAATCATTTATGAATAGTGATCAAGCAGAATTAGCGGCTGGCCTACAAGAACTAATCTTAGGAGATGAAGGATCTGAATTACAAACAGTTATTCAAGAATCATTAAAAAGCTTAGCAGAAGCAAAACAAAATCTACCTGAGGGAAGTGATATGACTTCGATATTTGCAAATATGGGTATTCAAGAAGATATCAGTTTAGATGAAGATATGCTTCCAATGTTAATGCAATTTATGCAGCCATTGTTGAGCAAAGATGTGCTTTATCCATCTATTAAAGATCTGTGTGATAAATATCCAAAATGGCTTGAGGATCATGAATCAACATCTGATAAAGAAGAATTCGAAAGGCAAGTTATTAAAATTGATTATACTTAAATACATACTTATTAATAAGATTATAATATGTTATATAAATCTTATTTAACATTTTAGGTATACACAAATGTTTAATTGTATTAAAGAAGTCCGAGATCATTTAGAAAATCAACAAGATACAGATGATGATATCACAAAGACTAGGAAGTTTAAAGAACTCATGGAGTTGTTAAAAAAAATGCAAGAATGTGGTCAGCCACCAGAGGAATTAATGAGAGATGTAGCTGATGGCAATCCAATTCCTGATAATGTTGGCCAATGCACTCTTATGTAGCAAATGTTTATTTTGAAATATTATTTTTATTGAGTCTTGTTTATTTATTTATTATCAGTTTGATAAATGAAGACTGAATAAATATAGGGTATAGGTGAAAGGGTAGCAGATTTCACCAATGTGAAAGGTAAACTTCCAAAGATACATACATCATATTGACATTTTCTAAATTTGTTAACCTCTCAAATTCATAGATATTTTTATTAATTATTTAAATTTTCAACTTATTAAATATTATTGCAAAAAAATTATTTCATTTTTGGTATTCAAAACAAAAATTTTTGTTTTTTGTTTTTTACTCATATTAATAAAAGTATAAAATAATATCTAAAATTTTAAAAGTATAACATAGTCCCAGTTTAATAATTAGGTATGTCATATTTTAATTTAAGTTACTGTTTAAGATGAACATAATGGCCAATAAATTTTAAGGAAATAATCTATTATATCTAACAATATTTCTTAAAATATTTTTTTTTTTTTAATTTGGACTGGGAAAAATTAATTTAATTAAATAAATAGTATTTGAATGGAATAAATCAAAATGTTTTGATTAGATTTTACGTCGTAATCTTTATGACAAAATATATTACTTTCAATTCTATAATATAATGATCATTGATGTTATATGTATGTTTAAAATTAATTTTCTGACAGGGTTTTTTTTACTTTGTTAAAATGTATACCTATTTCATTAAATAATATTGTATCATTATTTAGATTTGCAAACATTGTATACTTTGATATTTTTAAAAATAAAATATGGAGCATACTGCTTAAATTATTGCATAGACATTGTGATTATTTATTATATTCGTGTAATAAAATCAAAATTTTAATTAGTAATAAATAATTAAGTTTTATTATTGTGTTATTACCTACCTATAATGTATTCATGTACAGTGGCTTCAATTAAAAAGTAATAAGTAATATTTTAGCTAGTTGATCTTAAATTGGAAAAGGAATTTTCCAGGAAAATATAGGATATTATAATTTACACAATTTTGGGCAATTTTCAAAATTAATTTCTTTTTGATGTGTAAAATGTACAATTAAAGTAACTGTATTTTTATTTTATTTTTTTAAAGTAAATACTATAAATAATGATTTTAAATAAATTTATGCAAATAAAACATACTTATACTATCTATATTTTACAACTTCTCTCAATAGGTTAAATAAAGTATTTATTATTTTCATAATATCATACAGTAAATTAATGAACTATAAATAAAATGATTACAATCTAACAACGAGCTTGTTTAATAAGTCATTGCGATCTGTAGTAAATAGGCATATAAAATAAATAGAAATTTATTTTCTTGTATCCTGAATTCCTGACATTGAACATTAAATGCCTCAAGTCTAGTACTCTGGCTATGATAAATTTAAAAAGTTTACTTTATCATGCGTAAATCTAAAATAGTCACAAATATAGATAATAATTTATTTACCATATCTTATATTTTATTATCCATGTCCGTGAAAATAGTTTTCGAATTTTTATGATATCTTATCTCTGCAGCTCCACCCCCGTGTATGATAGCAATTAAAACTGAAATGTAAACAAAATCAAAACAATTGATTTTGTAAAAAATTAATAAAATGACTAGTCATAGACTTATTTTTCTGTTCGTCTGAAAAAACAACATTTAATCTGTTGATCTGGTTAAAAATTTAAAATATGAGCGGAAGAAGAATCCAATTCTGTCCTATTACACCAATACAATAACAGATATGTGGACTCCAACCAAAACAAACAAATATGGAGTTGGTGAGTTTTATTTTGGATTTGAAATTATTTAAAATGTATAAGTACTAGCTTACATTTAATTTTAGTGATATACAACTGGCATGGAGATAATCCATATGGTTTACATCTTGAAATTGGGGATACTGTTCAGATCCTTGAACAATGCTGTGGTAAGTATAATCATAATTGTGTACAATTAATATATTTTAAAGCCATTTTGTGTGTTATACAGGTTGGTACAGGGGATTTGTTACTAAAAATCGATCTGTTAAGGTAAGACATTTATGATGATATATCAAGTCTTATTAATATCATATAAGTACTCTTTTTAATACTTGTCATATTTTTATTTCATTAGGGTATATTTCCATCTACATACATCCATTTAAAACCCTGCCGTATTGAAAATGAGGGGTATGACAAATTTCTACATTAGTTATATTTTTATAAATATTTATTTCAATTTGAAATTTCAGAAGTTTTGAAACAGCTATCCCATTGGAAGATATGGTTGTTCGAGAAGTATCATTGGTTTTACGTGATTGGAGTTGTATTTGGAAGTCATTATATGTGGTATGTCAAAAATTTATTTGCATTTTCATGAATTAAAAACAAGATGTACTAAAATATATTTAATAGTAAAATCTACCTTTTACATATAGATAGTAATTAGGAATAGGAAAAATAGATCCTAACATAATCACATATACATAATAATAATTAAACAGTTTATTATGTGATTATGTTTAACTAGTTCTTTTTCTGTAATTTATCAATTTTAAACAAATATTTTTAATTTACTATGATAGTGCAATTATGTAATCTAATTATAGCCAGTCTATATTCTTAAACTTTTGATATTAAAATACAACAATAATATTATGATTTAAGGTAATTTGTTTTCAATTAATACATAATATATAGTAGTTAATTTAAATTAATTACATGTAAAAATATTTATTTGTAGGAACGGGAAACATATAAATTTATTACATTACGAAAAGTAATGCGAGAGTTACTTGAATGGAGAAAACAATTATTAACAGGAACATTAACTCAAGATCAAACAAGAGAATTGAAATTAAAGACTACTGCAAAAATTGATTGGGGAAACAGGTAAATAGGAAAATATTGCATGTAAATTGCTTTCTTCTATTATTCTTAAAAACAGGGGTCAGAGAAACCAAGCTAAAGTTACTGACATTGTTACTAAAATGAAAAAAAATTATTGTTTGAAAAAAACGAAGTAAATTTGTTTAGAAAATTAAGTATTTGTACTAATTTATATGTTTTTTCATTGCATTATGAAATGTTTATGCTGGGTTTCATAATTCATTAAACATTTAATTCAAATTATAATGACCTAACAATCGCTTAAAAATTATTTTGTGGCCTAGCCATCAATTGGTTCATTGAATTAATTACTTTTTGCCAACATGGCATAAAATAATTAATTAGTAACAATATCAGTTATTTTCTTCACTTGAATAGTTCAATTCAAAGCAATTGTCTATAATTTTCTAATCATGAGGTAATAATGATTCCATCAACATTACTAAAAATTTGCATAAATAGTAGATTTTATATATTGTTATTTATTTATTGATTGAGTAAGTTATCTTTTTCTTTAATAATATGTTTTAGCATTGCTAAATACCATGATATACCATGTAAAAAGTATTATGAAGTGGTTTAAACTTAATTTTTTTAAATGAGAACCATTCTTTTCTTTGTAAATTGTTAAGCTTTTTATAAATGTTGATGTATAAGTCAACAATTGAATAAATAGTTTCTGATTTATTAATGATAGATAGATGTAATATTCAATCTAGCAATTAACACGTTACATCTCAAATTTACATTCAGAATTTAAAATTGGAGTGAATTGACTTATTGTAAAATTTAAATAAAACAACAATATCTATATCTGGCTATATATATTTTTAATTTAATTTTTTAAAAATATGTTTAAGCTTAAAATTTCTTTTAAGTAACAAAATCATATTTATCAGCAAACAAACTTCAGTAAAAATACAGATAATGTTGTTATATTCATATTTTATTAGGTTTGAAAACTTAAACATTAAAAGTAAATGTAAGCTATTGGATATAAATTTGTTATGCTTATATGGTGTTAGATGAAGATAACATATATATGTGCAGACTCTTCCTAATGATATAAAAGAAAGTTTATTTAAAATAATAAGTGTTTTTTTTTATATTGATTAAAAGTTATAATTTCTATAGAAATTACAAATTTATCTTTTTAATATCAGTTAATCATGAAGTAATCAGGCCAACTAACTAGGTCTATACTAACTAAAGAATTTAATACTTCAAGGTAATATAATTAATTATTGTGTTATAATTTACATATCATTTCTAAAATATTCTAAAAGTATATTTTTTTTATTATTATTTGAAAATAGCTACTGTTGGAAAATTTAGTTTTCCAATGAAATTAAATCTTAGATACACTACTGGTTGCTTTAGTTATAAATAGCCTTGTTTCTATTGATTATGTTTACATTTGAATGGCTTTTGAAATTTGCAATTTTATTTACTTTAGTTTTCGATGGTTTGTTTAGTAATGATCGTTTAATGATTTAAAACAATTTAATAGACAAGGGTCTTTTAAATATTTAAACTAAAGATTTTTTTTAGGATCTATATCACTTAATATGTCACATAAATAAATAAATAAATACAATATTATTTAATTTTATTTATTTATTATTTAATTTTATTTATTTATTAATAAATAAATCTGTATTACTTCTTGATTCATAAGTAGCTATGTATGAATAATATTTCTTATTGAAATAACAATAATTATTACTTTAATAATTCAATAATTAAATAAGTAAGGTTCAAAACAAGTGTCTCGCCCACCTTCACCTTCCTTTATAATAATAATCATCAAAGATTTTAAAAGTACTTATGTAGCATCTATGATTTATCAAAATATAATTTATTTTAAATACAATACTAATTTTAATAATAATATTAAATTATGAACTAAAATGTATTATTTTAGTTTATTATACCTATTTAAAATATAATACATATTTAATTGATTTATAATCATATCGCGTTCATTAAATTATTTAAATATTATGAGGACATCATTATTTCTGATAGTTAAACATGTACAAATTATAGAAAACCCAGCTTTTTAAATTTCTCATTTTACACTTAAGCTATTCAAATTAGTAAACATCAATAACAATATTTTACAAAGTTTATTAAGAAAGTATTGTCTTGTGTCTATTCTCTTGGTATAAATGTGTACAAGTATTAAATCATTGATTATAAATCTCTAATTTCTCAATTCAGTATTTATAATAAATTATTGTAATTTAAAACTATTTATAACTAAACATATGATTACAATTCATAAACACTAACTTTTTATTAGTACTTACAAATTTATACTTCTTCAGTAATTTGTGTAAAATATATTATGCTTATTTAATTTGAACAGTTTGATAACAAAATGAGACATAACTTGAAGACCTATATTTGATTGAAGTTTATTGAACAAAATAAATACATTGCATGTTTACTACAAAAAATGAACATACTCGCATTCATATATTATTTTAATTAAACACAGTACCATTCAAATTAAAAAAAGTAAATGTATTCATTGTAATTATTTAAAAACATTTGTCATTTATAACTATCATAACACATTACATATTCCTAGAAGCTAATTGATATATGAGCTTAAGGCTTAGTTGGACAGTATTTCAGTATCTAGTTAAAAATTTATAAGATATTTTTATCAATAACTTTACTAGTTAAAAATAACCAAGTTATTGACTTAATTACAAATAATTTTAACTTAACTTAATTTTAATCAAAGTTAATTTATAAAGGTTTTTTAAGAATTTTCATAACATTTATAAATAATCATTTTAATATGAAAATCGAGAACTATTACATAATTGCCTTAAATATATATTATCGCTGTACCATAAATTGTTCATGTAGTGGTTTAATATAATTGGTTAACTGTTAAGCTAGAGAAGAGTGTCTATTGAGAAAAACAAAAACTTTATTAGTAAAATCAATTAAATAGATAGTGTAATTTATTAATTGTAGATTATTTATTTAATAAATAACATTTTATTATAAAAATAAAATGCCTAGGTGTGTGCTGATTGTTAGTTTTACTAAAACTGTTTTCCAGTTAGTACATAATATAAGGGTTTAAATTTTATTTAAAAAAAATAACTGTAAAATTTAACTGGACTTATTTAATGTTTTCCTAAATAATGTGTAACCTAATTTAGTTTCTCAAAATCATTTACATTTTAAATAAACTTTAGTTTTACTCAATTTATTTTAAGATGGTTTAACTTAAATAAGTTTAAAAAAATATGATTAACTTACCCTGCTTTGAAAATTATAGTTTAATAGATTTTACAAAAACGTATATTACATAGTTTATTTATTTAGGCTCATCCCATCAGTTAACTTTTGTAATAATTTTTGTATATTTTAATTATTTGTTTATTAACTGTTCAGCAGTATAGTAGGTTAGTATTGGAGAAAATTAAGAGTTTCTAATTTTATCTATTCTACCCTCGTATTTATCATATTCAAAGGAATTTTAAAAATATTCTTACAAATTTAATTAAAATTAAAATGTATTAGAACTATGATTGTCATAACATTTTATAATAACAAAAATGTATTCAAAAATCACTAAAACACTTCATTTTTTTTTTTTTTTTGTTCTATACTTCTAATTGATAAAAATAATTATAATTAACAATTCATTGATTAACACAAAAGATTTTTTCTTAGTACTCAATTTTCTATAAATTATATAATATTTAAAATGTATAATAGTTAATAGACTTCTTATGTTATGCTAATCTGCTTTTATTTTTTGTTAATATATGAACATTTTAAAATTAATATCCTTTTCTTATATTTAAAATAAAATTTAGAACTATAATATAATAGAAAATAGTGATTGGATATGTAATCTTGAAATATAACTAATCTAACAGTAGTTTTTAATGTTTCTTTATTTACAAAAGTCAGTGGTTGTTTAGTCATCGAGTGCTCACCAATTCTATTAGTCCAGGATAATATATTTTTAAACTATAAATGGTCATGTGCTGGTCTTATAAATAATTGTTAGTAGTTATTATTATTATTTTAACTTTATATTAGAAAATAATAGGTTTACAAGTATTTTTTGTTATTATATTATTTATTACAATGGATGTACTTTCATAATACTTCATCAAGCAGCAAAAATCTATTATTAATATACTCAAATAATATAATGTATTTTTTTTAAAAGTATTATTTTAAGACTCGGTTAACATTATTAAAATTGTTTGCGTATATAAACACATATCTTGTGTGTACCACCTATGTTAATAACTTTATATTGTCTTGACAAACTTACTATTTAATATTAAAAAAAAAGGTTAAATTTATAATTATTAATTTTTTGTGATTCAAGTTTAGTTAAAGTAGTATAAAATACTAAATAATTTAACTTACAAAAAGGATTTAATATAAATGAAAATATAATAGTATTATATTAAAATAATAATACATATTTAATTCTTAGTGTAATATTATAACATTATAAATAAAATTGATTAATGCATACAATTATTAAATAATACAGTTTATATATAATTTATAGTTGTCAAAATCATTTATTTAATATTTAAAATTATTATTGAATACATTATTAATCCTTTAAACTTAATAATTAAAATCAAATCATCAATACCAATATAAGGAGACTTTTTATACAGTATTTTGTTAAATAAATCAACTAAATTAATTTCAAAATTTACAGTTCACACAATATCTTATCACAATTAATTACAATTTTAATAGAAGTTTAACTTCAAATTTAAAATCAAAATAACTTATTAAATATAATTAAAATAATTGTTTACACTAATTAGCGCCAAGATGCATAATATGACTGCTAGTCAATCATTTTAATATAAAAGAACATGAAACATTTATTTATAGGTAGGAATAGTTTGGTTACCAATTGTTTAACATAGAAGATGTAAAAAACTGTATCAAAATAAAATATGTAGTTGAAAAAATTTAGTCTTAGAATTAATTATTGATTGCTAACCTATAATTTGAGTAACACATCAATTTATTTAATGTTCAAAAAGGTGTAAATGGAATGCTTTCTAAGTAATGAACACAGAATGAGATTAAAAATGTTCGACTTCAAGTGTTTTTCTCATTAGATAAAAAACTATAGACAATGATTTATTTTTTGTTATTTATCAAGTCTAAGCTTCAGTTTCTTTGTGAAGTCTCAATTTATCCAAAGGATACATCGGTGATAGTTCTAGGGTTGAAGGAGCAGTTGGTAAATTATTTCCCAAATGTAATCGTGAACTGAGATCATCTAATACTTCGGTAAACTGTCCCATATTCATATTTTGGCCCAAAAGATGTAATAACAAGAAATCTCCAACCTGAAATATGATTAGTTTTAATACTTTGTAAAATATGAAATGTTAAAATTAATAAAAAAATCCCACTATTTTAATAATTAAAAAGCTTACCTGTGTTTTTCTAATAAGTGCTGATACTGATTGTGGTGTACCAAATTTAAAACGACGTAGTAAAATTGTTTCTCTAATTGAGGGTAATGTTACAACAGCAATACTGTAAGCTAACGCCATTCCAGATATGACTGCTAATATAATGAACCAAAACCACAAAAATATGTAGATTTTTTCATTCAAGATATTTAATGCCAATACACAGAGTGCATCATGTGTTTGCATTGATCCGGATGGACCATATTTGTGAAATGTGCATTTTGTTACTCTTGGGAAAACAGCTACCATTGGGTCCATTCGGTTTTCTTGATCCATTTGACTGAGTTCTAAAACTTTAGTACCGTATGAGAAAAATTCTCCTCCTAAGAAACTGTCTATAAGGAACATGTTTCCAATTACATTCAAAAAATTGAATACCTAAAATGTACATCAAACATTAAATTAAATATCAAATCAAGACTTTAATCAAATATTTACTTCACATAAGAAATATCCTGAAGCATAAACATTATGCATATGTAAAGTATCAATAAGGTATTGAACTAATTGTTTTTGACGACTTAGTCTGTCATCATTTTGTCCAATGGAAGCACCACGGACACCATCAGTGATCATGCGAATTTTGCCTTCTTCCCAATTTTTCCATAACCAGTGGGGCACATAGAACAGAATGCCTTGGAAAAACAGCATGAATGGCACCCATTGATAATAAGCATGATAGCGTACTTGATCTTGGCCATCAATATAATCTGATACACCAGGGTGAGCAACATGTGTACCAAGACCTTTACCAATTTTATCTGGCAATGTAAACGTATGAGTAATCCAACAAAATGTGTTAATGACATGTTCTGGGATAGCACCATCAGTTATACAAGATATAGGATCACCTAAAAATTAAAATTTCGATATGAATCATCAGATTAGTTCTAAAATTTGGTTGTTTTGACCTTGATAATAAATGTAACAGTTGTAGTTCAGAATTAGAAGCAACACGTGAAGTTTACAAAACAAAAAAAAATATTTCCTAGATGCATACTAATCTATTATGCTACTTAACAACAGCATTTTTTTTGAAGGAGACAAAGAGAATTTAAATCTTGGTCCTACCAGGGTCCCCTACACAATTGTGTCACTTTGTAATGTTAATTTGTTTTTATGATTAATAATATACTCTTCGAATAGCCTATTCACTTGCTTATTATTTATATAGGTCCAGGGTCAATTGAAAGGAATTGCCTCCTTTATTACAAACAATAATAAAGCAACGTTCACTGTTGTGAGTTGCTGTTCTACAAATAAGTTTTCATTTTATTATTCGCATTGGGGAAAAAAAAAAATAATAATAGTAAAATCACACACTCACCGATAAGATTATTAGCTGTAACCAATATACAGCATCCAAAGAGTATTGCCGTGGTGAGCCTGTAATGCGCTCTGAACACTGCGTTATCGATGTTGGCCTTGTCCACCACATAACGCACCTTAATGAAGCCGGCCACAGCCGACAGCATTGGGAATATGGCCATATCGTCGTCCTTTATGCGCTATTACTCAACGATCGGATCTAAATCGAGGGACATGCACAACAATTAGTTTTTACTCAACGATGATTTCTGGAGTATTAAGATGGTTGTTCAACGTCTGAACGTCGTATAAATCGCGCAAAAAACTAAAAACAAAACCGGGGTCAGCTTAAACAGGGGGCAGGGGGTGTGTACAAAAATAACAACGAAAATCTACACAGTCTTCAGGCATGCCACCGGACATCGGCGGAGGTATGCCGTGTGCCTGTATAGATATATTACAGACACGCAGTAACAGGTATCTGTTGTCTGATGTCAACAGCCTCCCGTGCTGTGCTGTGCCACTTGCCACGGTCTCCCCCCACCTCACACTCAATCACGTAGTGCTGCTCCTCGAATGCACTGGAGTTCTTAGACGGTTGCCCGTTGTCTATTATTATGCTCAAAACTGGTTTTTCGACCCGATCGCACGCACACATAATAATATCACATAGGTACGCGCACGCATACCCGTAATAATAATTCCGACGTGTTCATAAAATATATTATTGTTGTGTTAATATAATGTATATAAAAATATATATATATATATATATATATGTATGTCTTCGGGTGAAATAAATCGTATGCTGTATGACCGTAAAGGTACGCCGCCGAGTGACTCATGTAGTTATGTAGTATGTACCCATTACAATATATGCATCGACCATTCTTTGAATTTTCTCGTTCACCTATTGGGTATGCACTGCGCACATCATACCAACAATTACGCGTGACTCGAACAGCAATATTTTGTTGCACAATGTTTTATTAGTTGTAATAATGATTCATTTTAGTAGCGCGTCCCCCGACGATTTCGTTTCAGAGGCGGCAGATGTTTGAGATATCGCCAGTCGTGTATTATATCAAGTCTACAATATCGAAATATATGATGTAGGAATTATACATCTTATTGGTATAATATTCTAATAAAACCAAATTCTTTTTCGCTTTAAAACGATCCTCCAAAATTCTAACATAACTCCTACTCTATTCGTTTGTTTTATGTAAGAGCGTGAGAACAACGACGATGATGCGTACGCATATCTAATTATTTACCTATCGCTGAAATACACGCGTGTTACCTACATAATAATAGTAATAATAATATGTACACATAAAACATGATTATCATTAAGTAGGTACTTGTATAATAATGTGAAAACAAAAAGCACGTTTACACACTGTGATAGCAAACAATGGGGGAAGCGGAGACGCGCCAGACGTCATTCACTACACGTCAGGTGTTCGCGGTGATGGCGTAGGTCGAAACAATTACGAAGCAGCAACAAGTTGTAGCGCAAAAGTTTGTCGTACGAGATTAATACAATATCAATTATTTAAGTAATAACGTTGGATCAAGTGGTGAATAAAATCTCAAAACTGCTCAAGAACGCCGTAATAGTAATTGTTATAAAAATATGTTATTATACAATATTGAACATTAAACGTATAGACGACGATAATAATATTGTTATTAAAGCGCTATACGACGGGGAAAAAAAATTAAATTAAAATCGTGTGAAACTAACCAGTTTGTCAGCAATGTTTGGGCGAAATATCGTATGTCACCGCCGATCTGGAATCGTGATAATATTTTTATTGTCGTCGTCGTTGTCGTTAGTTCGCGTGTATCACGTATCGGATGGCGATAGTCCGCACCCAATCGATGCAGTCGCCGTAACTAGCGGTTCGTCGTTCGTCGACTGTATCAAACCGGTGAACAAACGCGCGCCGCGGCGCACGGGTTGGTCGCCGCCGCTGGAACGCAGAGCGCTCGGAACCGGTATCCGCTGCGCGCCGCCTGATGATGTGTGTTCACCACCGCGTTACACGACAAGCTGTTGTTTGGCGGTACCATAGAGTGCAGGGACGCGTGTGTGGAGGGGATTCACGAGACGGATTTCCAATCGCGAGACTGCGCTTCGATGATTAAAATATTAAATGAGTGATTATAGTTATTACCATAGATTTACAGCCGAAATCCGTCCCGAGATTTCTGGTAATAATATCGCCGCGTTCGAATTCTCAGTACGGAAACGCGCCGTCTGTCAAGCCCGGTAGGTGGCGGACGTAACGCGTACCCGCGCCGGTTTCTGATGAACGAGTTGCGTTTTACACTCTTTTTTTCGTTTTATCTGGTTACCAATAACATAAGGATTTGCAAGCACGCCGTTGCATTTCCTCGCGGTGACTATCAGGCAAATCGAAAATCTACACTAATTTTAAATTATTTCTAATGTTGCTCAAATTTGTCATATCATGGTCTTTGAACATACACAGCAGCAAGATTGGTAGGCGCGTGCGATGTACCTACTGCCGTTATAAAAAATAGAAAGTTTTGACGCGGTGAGAATTCGTTTAGGAATAATATACATAATGTTATATAAAGAAAACAACGGATTTCCGTGCACAATAATAAATTGTATTGTTCTCACTGTGGGAACTGAGAATAAAGAATATTTTGTTTTATTATGATACAGCGGAGAGTAATAAAATGTTTATACATCGTCGCTATTCTTTTATGGGTTTACTTAAAAATAGTCGAAGTTTAGTAGAAATAGGGCTTGCTAAATGCTTATTATTCTAGATCGTTATTTTGCTGTGTATCCTTGAGATATTGATGTAAGACAATTACAAAAGTATTTTCATCGTTTAGCTACAGGAATTGTTATTATTTAAAAAACTGGTTTCAACAATGCCTCCGTTGCTCTGTTCAAAATTTAAAATGTCTACACAAGCTGATACTTAATTATGTAATACGCAAACATAAATCGAATATTGAAAAATGTGTTTTATAATATTATTCCTAGGTTTTTAAGAATATTTTAATTTCATAAATTACATTTAAGTACATAGTTTTTCATTTTTATTTGTGATTACCACTCAGGCGCAAATTAAGTTTTAATCTATTGGGAAGCCTACGAATTTGTTTTGCAAACCCGCGGGGGCTAATCCACTTTACTCTTTCACATTTAAATTATATTCTAAAAAACAAGCATATTTTATTATTTTCACCATGTAATGTATTATTGAATGATTAATACAAATCAATTTTTTTCAATCTATAATCATAATAATACCAGTATTATTAAAAATAATATAAAACGTCTAACTTTGATACGGAGTATTAATTATTGGTGCTATTATTCACTTATTTTTAAAATTTCGGCGATAAATTATATTTTATAAAAATCAACAATGTAATATGGACGTACAAATTTTGTCTGAAAATTTTTTATATAAATGGTTAATAATAAGAGGCTAAGACTCTAAATTTATTGTATTAACAATAATTAAAATATCTAAAATGCACTACCTATATGTACATTACATTTTCAAAAAAAATATCTACTAAATATTAACAGTAAAAAGAAGGGTTCTCATTTGAAATAGAAAAGTTTTTATCACCACAGGACTCTCCTTATAAAACATAAAATAATTCAAGAATTTAAAAATATGGCTTTTGAGTTTTGAGTACATACATTTAAAAATTTCAAAAATCAGAATCTGGATAAATGTATTATTAAATTAAAAAAACGGAAGTGAATATGCTTGTTCAGTCCCTCTATTCATGTAAATGTTAAAAAAAATATTATGATATTTATTAGGTTAAATTAAAAAAATCTATTAAAAAAAATATTACCATACATATTATTGACATTTTATCTATATAATTGACTGTTGGGCCCCAATCTCTCTAGTTTTCATCTATGAATTATCATACAGAAAATACTGTAGTTATCAATTAATATATTTTTATGCCATAAATATTATTTTCCAATACATCAATCATCTTGGTTGGCGGTTGCAGCCCTTTGCCCCCTTGAATAATAATTTAATCAAGTCCAAGAAATGTTAAGATAAATATCATATATGGCAGTGTTTCCCAATATTTTTGTAATGGCGACCCATAAATTTACTGCTTATTGATTACGCAATGCACCTACATCAATACTAAAAAAAAAAATTTTGTATTGTTCTGAACTGCCTGATGGAACTGGTTGACTGGTATCATGATCGGATGTGGTTTTACAAACAATACATGGCAACTGGCGACCTATAACTAAAATATTTCGCGACCCATAGATTGAGAGACACTGATATAGTGTTGTATAGTGTTAAAATTTTTATGAAATTAGAACAATCAATATAGGTACCTCTAGGTTTATGGCTTATCAATGTTTTTAATTTTTTATGATATGCAATACCTATAATATTTTTATTTTAAGCATCATTCAATAGGCATAGTTTAAAAAAACAAATCACCAAAATCTTCTTCTACAATTATAAAAATATACAATATACAAATAATATCTTATTGTTAATAATTAATCACTTCATCAGCAATACGCATCTTTTATTCATTGAAGTTAGACTTTACATGGTAATTGGTAAAGTATGTTCTTTGTAAATTTTATTGTTTTTGTCAAATTTATCGAGTATCTTAGGTCGACTTTTGTTGTTTTAAATAATATTTAATAATATCTGATAAGTGCCAAATATTTACCTGTCTGCAACGTGGACTTTATTATCAAATATCTCTATAGATATTTAATAAACAACCGTGAATTCTTTAATTTTACGTGCGTTTTGACGGAAACTGAATATTTTTATTTTATATTACACATCTTAACAACGAACTTTTTTATTTAGACATTTTACACCAGTATCGGTAGTATTATAACATTTATAACTATATATAGTTGGTTTAAGAGACGGAGTGACTCGATAATTCTTACCGAGCAAACAGATATTTACTGGCCATTTTTTTCAAATTTAATTTGAAATTGAATGAATAAATGAAATAAAATTACATTTATTAATGTTTAACGAATCTGAAAATGAATTGACTTTATAGAATAACTTATTGCATTATCTGCAAAAGGTAATAATTTTACAGAAATATTGAATAACTGAAGTAAATCATTAATAAAAGGTTTTAAGCAAAGGTCCTAAGTAGAAACCTTGTGGATTTTTTTTATATTACTTGAAAATCCTTAAAAATATGAAACGAAAGTTTAACTGCCTTAATATTGTAAGATGACATAATTACGTAAGAATTCGAGTAATTGCATATTTACTATTTGTAGTTTAGACCATAAACTAAAATATTTTAATTCGTGATTCACATCATAAATTTGTTTTCATTATTTCTATAGTCAACTAAAAATTAACAAAATATAATTATTTTCATCACACCAGGACCGGGTAACTTCTTATATAAGCAGGCCTGGCCACCGGACATTGTCCCATTTGCCCGGCGGGGCAATCCGACCCTAGTTGCTCGTGAATTTTTTCATAAGTACCAATTTAAATTTTGATACATTGAAAATTATTAGGTCATTACCCATTTATTTAGAGTTAATTTTGACTTGTAGAGCTCTTTAAAATTGTTGTGATTTACTTCAACAGTACAAAATAACTTTCAAATTAATTAGTCTTAGAGGTGTCAACTATACACTCCTACATGAATGTGAAGTTCATATTGTTTATAACGATAATTAACGATATTTTGATTTGGACATTTGCTCAATAACGTTAATATCTTATTTATAACAATAATTACCTATGTATATTGATTAATAACGTTAATGACCGATGAAATACGTTATTTTTCGTCCAATGTCATTTATCGTAATATACACAATGTATATAATATATTTTATTTATTATACTATAAACCAGGGGTGTCCAACCTTTTGTGAAGTCTGGGCCACATCATATGGGTAGAAGTTGTTGTGGGCCGCATAGTTTTTAATAATAATAGTTTATACATACAGTGTTTAATTTTTATTTGTTGATAAATGATATGAGATCTATGCCGTGGACATATCTCCAATAATAAAATATTTTATCAAAATCGGCTCGAGTTGATCCACTAATCACTCGTATAATTAATGTGTGCCAGTGCTATTATGCTAAGATAAAAGTATTAAACACTATTAAAGTTTATTTGATGTTTAATATTATGTAGTTTTATATTCTTATGATACATTTGTTCTTGTAATATTAATATATTATATACAATGTGAGGGCCGCATCAATATCGACCATGGGCCGCATGTGGCCCGCAGGCCGCGGGTTGGACACCCTTGCTATAAACACTAAACAGCTTAAACTATTATAATTAGTTCTTATTATCTAAACCTATTACTTATATTTTAAACAATTCTTTTCTTAAAAGAATTTTTAAATTTGTACATACATTTTATGTAAAAAAAAAGTAATGTGTTAAATTCTCAATGGAATAATTAATTACCAGGAGCAGATTAATGCATAACTGATCAACGATAGTTACAAGTATCAAGAACCTTATTAAAAAAAATTATATTTTTATCTTTTTAAATTTGAATCAATGACCAACCAAATTTAAAAATCTATAACTTGGATAATTACTAATTTTTCATTTTTACCCATAACTATAATAATATAAATAAATGTATAATTATTGTTTATTAGGTACCTTACAAATAATAATTTATTATAGCATCAATTAATTAAAATTGGTATAGTAAATTTAATAAATAATAATAATTTAAATACAGTTTATAATACTGTTTTAGTCATTTTAGATATGTTTGATAAAAATGTGCAGTCCTTTTAGATTCTGAGCAGAGCTATGAATATATTAATTTTACAATAATGTGGGTTTTTTATTTATTTATTTATTGTGTCTATCATCATTTTTTAGCCTTTGGGGTAGTAAAAATACTACGTTTTTCAACTTAGTGGATAGTTTTGAATCTAAATAATATTTGGGGTATGGGTAGGAGAAGTTAAAAGTAAAGTAC